CTTCACATACACAGTTAAAGTCCCCCATCAAAACAACAACCTTGTCACATTCCACGTAATTACGCAAAAACTGAAAAAAAGTTCCCTATCTCTTGCATTGTTGGGTGCATAGACGTAAATGACTCGCCACTGCACTCCTGACAGCACAAAATCACAAGAAATAAAACGACCACATGCGTCTATAACTACCTGCACACTTTCACAATTCACGGCCTTCTTTAAAAAGAGAAAACACCCCCCTGACCGCCCCACAGCATGACTTACAGTTATTTCGTATCTCCTAAGATAAGGATTGAGCGCTCTCTCGATATTATCGTCTGTCTGCATTTTGGTTTCTTGTACCGCAAAAAAGTCCGGTTGCTCGTCTTCTACTACTCGTTGCAGCTGGTATTGCTTTTTCAACGAGGACAACCCTCGGACGTTTAAAGTGGCGAATCTAAGAGCCATTGCGGTGCAACTACAGACAGTCGGCGAGGCTACAACACAAAAAGCCGCTAAGTCAAATCGTTATATGATGACGAAAGTACAACACTCTTACTTGAAATTTACCTAAAAAGTATGGTTCAGGTTCAGTGGTTACAGTTTCTTCACTGTGGGACCTTTGACGCGTGGTCCTCCCGTGGTCCCTGAGCGGCGGCGTGGCGCCGGCCTCTCTTGGATGTCCCCGTCTGCCACCTGTGGAGCGGCGACTCCTGCAGGTTGCCAGGTTGACCCGGGTTCTGGGTTGGTGTTGGTTCTAGGGGACGCTTGGCAGAACCGCTCATAGTGTCCATCTCGCCGTCCTCCGGGTCGTCTTGCCCTTGGCTGGCAGCCAGGGTCGGCTTGCGGAGGGCGTAGTCGTGGTCACAGTCGTCTCCCTGAAGGGCCGGGCCGCGTGCGACGTCGTTATCTCCTGGCTTGGGGACGTCCGTGTCGTCTGCTGGAAGCTCCACCGTGGCCGAGACCTCGGTTGGTGGGGCGTCTGCGGGGGTCTCAGCCCGCCCCTGAGGTTGGCCGCCCTCCATTCTTCCTCCTGCCGCCTCCTCAGCTTCATCTTAGTCCATGATGAGCTCTGAAGTGTCGTCTGCGGTGCCGCCATTGGTCACGTCTGCGTAGGTCTTCCTGCAGTCGTCGCGTAGGTGGCCGAAGCGCCGGCAGCTGTCGCATCGTGGCACACGGCACTCTCTACGGATGTGGCCGGTTTGACGGCACCTAAGGCAGAGCGGGGCTCTACCCGGGGCCAGCACCAGGGCCGTGCATCCTGGGAGCCGGAGTTGGTGCGGCAGCTTCTCGAGCGTGACGCCTTCCTTTAGGGTCAGCCTCACGACTCTTTTTGTGGACTGCACGCCCTCGAAACCCTCGACGCGCCAGGCTTCTCTGCCGACGTCCTCCACCTTGCCGTACGGTTCCAGGTTCTTTTTCACAACGTCGTCAGGCAGGTGGATGGGCAACCAGTGCAGCTTCAGCCTCACCTCAGATTTTTCCGGGTCGATGACGACGCAGCGCTTTCCTTTGACTTCAAAGGTTGCGGCGCTCAACAGCTTTTTCTTGGCCAACGACGTCTTCAGGGTCACCATCCACACGTGGTTCATTTGGTATGAACCAAACGCGGCGATTTCGCCTAGCACACCGGCTTTCTCGAGTCCTTTTTTAAAATCCTGGATGCGATAAGGCCGAGCTGTTATGTCCGCGCGTAGGAAGACTGAATTGAGGGCGTGAGCACCGGTGGGCAGGGGAGGCAGAACGATCCTGTAGCCTTCGTTCGATGACACAGCAGATCCGCGGCTATCAGTAGCCGTTGTTACCGCTCCGACGGAGCTCATAGCGATACGTCCGTTCGCTTCGAAAACCAAACGACGAATCGGCCAACTAAATCTGCGCACAACCAGGTAAGTCGAAATAGTGACTAATAGCCATTGATAGTCACTAGAAGTCATTTGAACCACGAATCTGCCATATAAATAAAAAATGTGATTGTATAGCCAATAATAGCCATTGGAAGCCAACTCAGCCCGCACACAATTAAATAACTCGAAATTGTGACCAATAGTTTTCAATAGTCAATATAAGTCTTTTCAACTCTGAATCTGCCATATAATTTATAAATATAATCTTATAGCCAGTATTAGCCATATGAAGCCTGGGCCCGTTTGCTCGAAGAGCTAACCGCGGTTAGCGTTGGCCAAAGTCCCTAGTAGGTACCGAAAGTACCTAGTTGTACCTACGTTGTACCTACTACGAAACTTTAATGGCTGGACATAAAACAAATCCGTCCTTTATTATTGGGCTGGAGCCTGCGCCACCTTGTGCTGAAAAAAATAAATAGTTATTTTTTTATGATACAACGTTTGCTTTATGGGAACCGTTTTCGGCTGAATCTAGTTGTAACTTGCAAGAAACGTTTGCTCAATTGAAAAGAAAAAGGATAGTTTCTTTTTTGCATCGAAATTCTTTCTTTCGAAGTGTGGAAGCGTAGACAAGACACCTAGTCAAAGTGCTTTGCAGTTTTCCGTTGTCGTGTTTTGCAAAAAGCAAGTGCGTCGACCGTCGCTTCCAAGTCTGGCAACGCCGTGTGTGCCGTGTCGCGTGCACGGCGTTTGTTTATACAACCAGTTTCGTATTAGCGGAAAACAAACAGCGCAAGGACAAGGACAGAGTAGAAGGCGGTAGACACACACAGCGCTGACTTACAACTGAGCTTTATTGGCACTGACAACCTGTATATATACACAATTTGCCCGGCCCAAAAGCCAAGAAAAAAACACAAGAGGAGGACTACACGTGTTCCTAGAGTCATCTGCAGGCGCCGTTGCTCTCCGATCTGAGTAGAAAAATACACTCCTTTTCCGTCAAGGCAAGTGACGGGGCACTAACACACTCAGAGCCCCATTGTCCAATGGCGCGGGCTTCTATAATCTCACGTGTCAGTTTATCTTTTTGTTTACTGATGACCGTGCATCGTTCAAAAAACGGAGTACATCCGCAATCGCGGCAATGCACCCCAAGGTGCCCCGACACAACCTGAGACACAAGTATATCGATGCTCTCTTAAACGCTCATTAAGACAACGTCCTGTCTGCCCTATATATCTCCGGCCACAGGACAGGGGAATAGAGTAGACAACACCCGCAACGCATGTAACAAACTGGCTTTGGTGTTTCTTGGCGCACACCTGTCTCTCTATTACATGAGAGTTCACTCTTTTGCACATCATAGATAGCTTGTCTGGAGCCGAAAAGACCACGTGAACACCAGCTCGGCGTCCCACTTTTTTCAGATTATGGGATATTTTGTGTAGGTACGGTAGTACTGTGATGTTCCTGTTTTTCCTGTTAACTTGTTCAGCATTCTCAATCCGTCTTCTCTTTAGTAGAGTTTCTGCGACTGCCGTTAAGAGGCGCAACGGGTAGCCCGCGGCCGTGAGCCTCGCTACTTGATTCTTAAAGCTATCCTTGACTAAGTGAAAGCATGATTTATTAAGGGCGTTTTTAAAGCAAATGTTGATGATTCCCCTTTTTACCAGTTTAGAGTGGGCAGACGAAAACGACAGGAGGGGTTTATTACTCCTTGGTTCATAAAGCCAGCAGGTGTGTGTGGGGAGACACTGCAGCCTAAGGTCTAAAAATCTTATGGAACCGTTTACTGGTAATTCGTGCGTGATAACCAGTGGTTCCAAGCATTTACTAAAAGTGGCCAAAACCTCAGAAATTTCGCCAGCAAAGTGGTCTGAGTCACAGTCAACAAGCACTAAGTAGTCATCTACAAACCTAAAAACCTTTTTTACCCTAGAGCCTTCAAGTCTATTAGATAAAATTCTGTCATAAAATGCAAGATAAATATTGCTCAACACGGGAGCTAAACAGGAACCGATGCATACGCCGTTTTTCTGAATGAAAGTCTCTCCATTCCAAGTTGTAAACGTCGACTTTAGATAAAAGGTTAAAAGCTCCAAGAAGTCTCTTACCCCCAGACCACATTCATTTTGAAACGCTACACACCCGTGGTTGTCAATACACTCTTCGACGCACATTAAAAGCTCCGTGTGTGGAATCGAGTAGTATAAGTCCTTAATGTCTACGGAACATGCTGAGAGCCATTGGTCAGGGCATTGTTTAAGGAAGTCTATTATCTGCTCCGAGTTTTTTACCTGAAAGGGGTCGTCAATAACTAAAATGTTCAATTTCGTTTGTAAAAACATGGCCACCGACTTCTGCCACGTTCCAAATTCCGATACTATAACGCGTAGCGGACAGTTCGCTTTGTGCGTTTTAGCTGAAAAAAACAGATCCAGATTCAGGCCTCTGCCCTTATCGACCGCTAGGGCTAGTTTATCTAAACTCAGCCGTTTGCAAAGTTTACGTGCTTCAATTTTTACTTTTGCTAGGGACACGTCATTCCTGCGTACAAAAAGTGGCCTCTATAGCGTCTACAGCTTTCGAGTTGAGCATGCCTTTGGGTAGTACTACAAAGCCCCCTCCTTATCAGCAGGTAACAAGGACAGGGCGTTATCCTTTAGGTAAGCGACTGTGGACCGCACAGGGACCCTGCTACCAGACGGCCTGCACTGCAGCAATACGTCTACACCATCCGCAATGCACCTGACCGCCTCAGACTCCGCAGCTCGTCCCGACACTTGCCTTACCAGAGACAACAACTCTGGGGGCGACTTTCTCGGCTCGACGGCGAACTTGGGGCCGTGGCTCAGCACTTGTTCCACTTGTTTTGGAAGGCGGACGTCACCCAACTTGTGGACCTAGTTCCCCGTAGCCGCAGGACGCCTCCCAGGGATGCTCGCTCGAAGAAGAGGCAGTGTTTGCTGCCAGAGGAAGTCAGCCGTTCTGTCGATGGTACGTGAGAGCTCCCGCCACCGCGATCCACCGCAGGACGAACGGTCACCCGCACGAAGACGTAGGTGTGGGCACTCACGATACAGCCATATCTGCCGCTGGCACTCGGTGCGTAGGATCTTGCATATCCTCATCCCATGGCCAGGCGAGGGCTGGCAACCACCGACACAGAAGAGACCGCACGGACGCGCAGTACGCAGCGGCAATGATGAGGCGACAGCGTGTGCTGCGGGACCGCCTGAACCCCTTTGAGGATTTCGACGAGGATGGGCTGCAGCAACGGTTCCGATTTGGAAGAGCGGGCATAATGTTTCTCGCCGACACACTGCGTCCGGACTTGGAGCGCCGTACACGTCGTAGCCGCGCCCTCTCTGCGGAGCAGCAAGTGATCATCGCCTTGCAGTTCTACGCAACTGGGAACTTTCTGATCACTGCAGGCGACTACATCCGCGTGCATGTGTCAAGTGCTTCACGGGCTGTGAGGCAAGTCACCGTAGCGCTGGCTCGTCGAGCACAAGACTTCATACGGTAAGGGTCCTTTTTTTTTTTCCTTTTAATTGTAGTTTGCCAGCCGTATTGAAGTGAAGTAAATACACTAAAAATATATCTGAATTGCTGGTGATAGGGATGTTTTGTAGGTTGCCTTTTTATGGCAGTAATATTCTACCTACTAGTAACTAGCCCTCCCCCCCCCCCCTTTTCAATAGAAAAAAAAATGATTACGGTCGTAAGCGTCCTACTTGCCCGATTGGAAAGGGCCCGGGCACGGCATTTTTCTAAGAAACCTCAGAAAGCGACCCGTTTGCACTTTTGGTAAGGACTTGCACCGAATCACAGTCACTTTATAGGTCTTGGTAACTGAACAAAAATAAAAAGGGATCCTATGAAAACATGCAAACTTCACTATTGAATAGGTGCTACTGAGGCACTTTACTGCTACCACATACTTGAAGGGCACAGCCAAAGTCCTTAGCATTCCTCATTAAAAAGGTATTCATAAGCATTGTAGCTGTAAGTTTACTATATGTGGTTTAATTGCTGAGGGGATCAACGACGCAGATGGCCTGACGCTGCGGAGGGGGCAGCCTTGCAGCACAAGTTCTACGACATGGCCGGCTTTCCTTTGGTCGTGGGTGCTGTTGACGGTACCCATGTCCGGATCCAGGCACCCCATGTGCACGAGGAGGCGTACGTCAACCACCATGGATACCATTCCATCAACGTACAGGTGGTCGTTGACGCCTCTTCTCGGATTCGCAACGTGGTTGCAAGGTGGCCTGGAAGCACCCACGACTCTCGGATCTTCACGGAGAGCACCTTGGCAGTCAAGCTGGCCAGTGGAGAGTACGACGGCCTGCTGCTTGGTGACAGCGGCTACTCCTGTCAACCATGGCTGATGACGCCATTCCTGTCGCCGTCATCAGCAGCCGAGGTCGCATACAATACGGCACACACGACGACAAGAAGCATTGTTGAACGGTAAATCTAGGCCATATATTGTGAAGGGCACAGAGATATTCATGCAAGACATTTCGAGACGACTAGCTGTCTTGACGTAATATGTGCAACACGTGCATGCTCCTTACGTCTATTGCTATTCTTTATGGCATAAAAATATTCATACAAATTTTTATATTAATCTAACGAAGCATAAGATACCGTGGTTTTATGTAAGCAAGATGAAAGTAGTATCCTGAGATTACGAATCAATACAACTTATAATAGCTGCCTAGGGTTCTGCGGTTTCAGTTTTTATTTTTCTGGAATCGGCATACTTTTTTCGGTTGTTATTGTGAGTATGAAATTTTCAGTTTTTATCGATGAATATTTTTAGTCGAAAGCTTACTGCCTTTTTCCGGTCGATATCTATTGACCAGTTACGTTTTTTTTCAAGCAGGTTTGTCGAGAATGCAGTAGATTAGGTTCATATCTGAGTTATTCGTCAAGCGGCAACACTTGCGGACATGGCAAACGTAACCTTGGTTATACATGTGCTGTGACGACAAATTCTTAATCGCAAAATTTGCAAACGTAATTCTTGGCACGCTTCTTTGTTCTTCAGATGTGGAGGACTATTAAAGCTGCTTTCCTCTGACCAGATAGCACCCTGAGAGAGGCTGTTTAAACAGCTTTGGTTTTTTTCTTATGCTCCCTACAATAGGAACAGAATGACATTCCATTCCTCCCAGAACAAAAGTAAGACCAAATGGCTTGACAAACAATGAAAACGCTCCAAATCCGCCCTCTAGACGACCACAGCAAACTTGATGGACAAAGGAACGCAAATTGCATCGATGACAAACCCAAATACTTCCTAAAGTGTGCTTCCAACAGAATAGTTTGAAAGCACGGAGATAAGATAGTTGACTACTCGGTCACATGCTTCTATACTCTGTTTACTCGGTCACATGCACCTGTAATGGTCTAAAGTACTGACCATTTAGGTATAAAATCAAACTTTCGAAACTTACCTCACCACACTTTATTGGGTTCTATCGCTTGAGACTGAAAATGCAGAAACTCAGTTATGTCTTAGGTCCCCAGGACTGGCAATAATGGGGAAAAGCACTAAACTCACCTCAGGTGCCAGTGCTACGCAAGACCCGGACAGAAGTTGATATTTTGTTAATTGGACAAAAATAAGCATTAATGACAATGGAATTTTTTTCCTAGACACAGCAGTGGAAGTAACACTGTGCCTTGGCACTTTCATATGTCCACTTTTTGAAATGTCAGTTTCGGGCTGTTTAATGGAAACTAACTAAACGTGCTAGATATGTATGTACTCATATTGAGTGCACAAGTACAGCTAAGCTCGTGCGTGCTAAGATGCGTGTGATCCAAAAATAGCGGCACATCGGTGTAAGTCGCAAACAATTGTGTGTTGCTGACCGTCTTGACCGATTGGCCAAGAGTACATGCCTAGCATGACCTATTCTGCTCTCATCGATGGATTTAAGAGTAGTGCCAAGGCATCATTTTGGACAATGTTGAAGTTGAGCATGCAATAACAAGTTTCCACAAATAGTCTCTAGACACCATCTTACACGTCATTCACGACTGATGATGAGTCGCTGCAATCTCAAATGTTCAGGCAAATCTTGCTTGGGATTCCGTTGTGAAAGCGCCATAAGACCCTCTACCAAAACTTTGGCTGCATGCGTCCAGGAGCTTCCACTTGAGTCAGAAATGGCGGTGCGTGGACCACTAACTAATAGGAACACTAGCGGCACAATCAAAGGGTAGGAGTACTTGGATAAGGCGTTATATCAAGTGCTTTACGTCTTACATCTCCCAGACTTACAAGACGGATTCTTATTGATCAATGAGAAAAGTAGATGGGTTGCGCTACCACGAACATCTATTCCTGGAGAGTGGAAGGGGAAAGGCTCAACAAGACAAGAGTCTGGCTCTCTTTCTCTTTTCACTCTGTCTCACAAGTAACATGTAGAATGAAATTTTGATGGTACTGTATTTGTTGCAGTATAAAGCTTGGTTACAAGTTAATTCTTACAGCGTTGGCAGCAATCAGGTAGCAAAAAATTCTAACATATTGGCCTGTGCATATGCAGGTGTTTGGTTGGAAGCATATCCACGAAACCCTTTGAGGATAGCGCTTGAATAAAGCTGCACTTTGCTTGTTGCTTTCTATAAAATACATTGCACAGGCTAACCTCAGGTGACCCCGGATGTGAACGCAGTGTAAAAATAATTCGGAAGGAAAATAAAATGGTATGCATAATGCCCAGCTTTCGATATCCTGGAGCAATGGGCTGGAGCTTGGGCTGGAAAAATTAGGAGGTGTGATATCGGGCACGGCAGCCAATTTGCGATTCGAATTCAGCTGTAAATTTGTCCTTGTTGCGTGTCATCCTCTTGAGTATTTGCGTTCCACGCTGTTGTCCGATTTTGCTATTGGGTTTCTGGGAAGGAATAACATGTGGTTTTGATCCATGCGCTCTGTACAGGACAATCGGCCAACTCAAGCGGAGGTTCCATTGCCTTCACGCTGAGCTCCGAATGGCTCCAGAACGGTGCTGCGACATCATTGTCGCGTGCTGTGCCCTCCACAACCTGGCCAAGAGGTACCCCTGCAGGACACCCGTGGCCGCCATCCCCGCTGAGGTTCCCGTTGAGCCCGTAGCAGCCAACCGTGCTGAGAGCAACGAGGCCCGAGACTTTATTGTCAACCATTTCTTCGGCTAAGTGTAAGTGTCTGGATAGGTATCTTCTGGCTGTCCATTTCTAATGCAAGATGCTTTGTTATGATCGTGGCTATTGCTTTCACCTTTTGTTTATCAGGCTTTGCAGATAATTATAAGAAAATTATGTCAGACAGTTGTCTAACTAGATCAAATAATTGCTTGAAATAATATTTATTGTTTTGCTACTTAAACATCAATTGTATTTTTGGAAACTGCAACAGTTAGGGGCTCAACCGTGCTGCACAGTTAGCAAGAAGCCAACAGCTTTGAGATATTGATTAATTTTATTTTAAGCTTTTTTTGTATGATCTAACTGGATGTAAGATTATCATAAGTTCTACCCAAAATAACCCATAAAGGAGTGTGACACATGTGACAATGCTGAAAGTGTGTTATCAACATGACAATGACATTCCAGCAATGCATATATCACTCTTGCACAGATCAATTTGGGTAGTGCTTGCAGATATCCCACATAGAGTTTCGAAATTTGGATGATAGAAATGTAAAGAATGATTGATGGACATCCCCTTATACCTGTTGCTTCCATAGCAGTATGTGTAAATTGCAGCATGAGCGACGAAATAAGTAATGAAAAAAAATTTTCTTACTTCCCGCATTATTGTTACAAAGCTCGAAATGTGTCATTTGAGGCACTTATAATTAGCTCGTTGGAAAGAGTGTGCTCGAAAAAAATCCCTGCCGAAGCTATTGGTCAAACGGGAGTGCAGTGCAATGTCCAACACTCCTGCAATCGCATGCTGCAGCTCAACTGCTTGTTACTGCTTTGGTCTCCTCTCCATCAACTCCTGCACTCTCGCAGAGCTACAAGCATAGGCACACACGGGCTCTCTTAAACTAAAAGATTTTGAATTTGATTTCCGGAGTTCATAACAATGCACTTTTCAAACTTCTAACTAATGACACGAGGGATGCTTCTTCAAATTTGTGCACTTCTTCGCACTCTCTGGAGCTCTCTTTTTATACTGTCATTATTTTTTGTAATACATTTCCCACACCGACGGATGCTTTATGGGAAGTGCTGAAGTCAGCCCTATAACAGACTATGTGTGCACAGTTTATAATGAGGCAACTGAAGAAGACAGTTATTTTCCCATTCAATATCTACAAACCGATACTATTTAATGGGTACAGGAGCATGAATAGGAGAGTATAGTGAAACAATGTTCATTTGATACCAATTTCAAAGCTATCAGTACAAATTATATATACTACCCCATAGAATGTTCATTTTTCACTGCATACTCATGGTTACTAGCTCATAGGATTTACATAGTGTACGCTTCTGAGTGTTGAGTCATAACACCTTTCACAGGTTTTTCCAACCTGCAAAGCTTTTCTCTTATTTTTCACAAACCTCCTAGGGTTAGTTCATATTTTCTTCATCCTGGCTGGCATGATAACATCATTTGCAAAACATTTATTTTTAGTAGGGCATTGTCCAGAGAGGAGCTTTATTGTACATACTACACTCTCATTAATTCAAACTCCAGAAAGTCACATATTTTAGTTGGATATATATGATACTAGAGAACATTATGATTTGTTACATGGAAAGCGATATATACAAAGCAGATTTTGGCCAGTTTCCTCTACATAGCACAGTAGCTTGCTTATAGTTAATGCATAACTATAAGCAAGTACAGGCATAACACATTTGTGAAAGAACTGTGACTAAGTTTATTCATCCGGCAAAAAAATTCGTCAATTGTGGACTGTTTAGTCAGCACATGAGATCTCAAAACAAAATTTTCAATGCCAGCCAATGCAAGTAGCTTTTTACGGGACTTTTCCTTTGCAGACAGAAACTTCCGGAGCTGAGCGATGTGCTCAAAGGCCTCTGCGGCTGTGACAGTTCGTAGTGGGTCATCCATTTCTTCATCGTCATCTTCACTGTCACTGCTGCACTGTGCTGGCATTACTTTCCGTACTGTGTCCTCTAATGAGTCGTCATGACAAACACACACATCGTCGTCAAGACTAATATAGTTCGCCTGCACGGCGTTCACATTACGTGTTTCAAGGCCAGAAACCATGATGCCAGTGAGCTGTGCCTCGTCCTCGTTGTCGTCTTGGTCATCATTGCTAGTCTTGAAGCACATAATTTCAACGCCGTTTTCCGTTCATGTGTGCCGTTTTCGCTAATTCATAGTTTTTTGTTCTCGCGGCCCCGTTGACTGCGCTTCTTTCCGAGCACTGGTGCACTGCGGAGAAGCAACACTCGCAAAAGCAAGCTTCGCATGTATTGCTCTCTGCGGTGCACCGGTACTCGGAAAGAAGCGCACTCAACAGGGCCGCGAGAGCAAAAAACTATGAATTAAGCGAAAACGCCATTCGAATTAAGTGGCTTATAAATACATAAAAAAGCTTAGCGGGACAACCAAAATTTTTAAACCTGTTTGAATTAACTGGAAGTACGAAATATCCGAGTTCGAATTATCGCGAGCCTACGTACAAGCAGCAAGTAGATTTCAGCTCCAAAAAACTGTTGTGTTGGATAACAGTGTATTTTTTTCTCGGTTGTATATCTATTCTGTGCGGACAAGTGATCACTTTGTGTTTTTATGTATGTGTGCTATTTCCCACCCCTCCTACAATAATGCCCTCGAGGCGATGAAGGTACTCTTTAAATAAAATAAATAAATAAATAAATACTTAAAGAACAAGGTAAGTGGTGACGATTCAAAGTAATAAGAGTTGAAGACCCGGGGCCCCAAAAGGTGACACACGCAACAAAATGATGTAGTGTTGTGTTTGATCCCTTTTTCTGTTCCTGAGTTTCGGGATATTCTTAGTATGAACTTTTTCGTACATAAGCAGCACACAGTCCATAGGTCGCAGGAGCATATCCAGGCAGAAAAAGCCTTTATCTTAAAAGCAGAAGGAATATTTGCAGATGCAAGTCAGAAAGTGTCTGTGGTCCACTCATCGATTACTCGAACATTTTCTTAAAACACAGAAACTCGACCTTTGTCTTCTGCCGGGAGGCTAATCGTCTTGGCGACCTCCTCTCTTGAGCTGTGACGGGGAGCCGCGTTATGAAAGGGAAACATGTGAAGGGATATAGGAAAGAAGGAATTATACATCTGCCTTTGAGCTTAACCCATATTTTTATTTTAGGTATCCATGTAAATTATGTGCCACCTTTGGGGCGTCGAAAGCCTGGGTGCCATACTGCCAGTATGATATTCTGTTGCTTAATTAACCACAGCGTAAAATATTGCGATCAGAACAACCACGCTGGTCTAGTGTAGGGATAGTCTACGACATGGAAAAGATTGTGTGCAAGCTTCCCTTGTAGATAGCATGCATAAAATAAATGAAGTGTCAAACATACCGTGTTTGCACGATTCTAACGTGGCCCCGATACTTACATGCAGGCAATTTTAGCTCCCAGATATCGAAAAATTTAATTGCTGCCGATTCTACCGCGCAGGTAAAGTAATGCACTTTGAACACCCATAAGTGCAGCTCTTAGGCGCTCGTTTCCGGCTTGAGCGGCGTCGCCGTCGCCGTCGTCGTAACCGCCGGTGCATGATGGGTAAATTTCTCCGCTAAATCTAGCGGAAAAATTTCTCCGCTAAATCTAGTGAAAAAATTTCCCCGCTAAATCTAGCGGAAAAATTTCCCCGCTAAATCTAGCGGAAAAAATTCCCCGCTAAATCTAGCGGAAAAATTTGTCCGCTAAACCTAGCGGAAAAATTTCTCTGCGGGGTCATGTGACCTGGGGGTCACGTGACCCCCCCCCCCCCCCCCCGAGGTCACGTGACCCCCTCCCCCTCAGTACCCTTCCCTACTCCTCAAGAGCTGCGCTCTAATTCGGCGTTACAGAGTTGTAAACGGCCTTCACTTTTTTTTTTTCATACAACACTTCGCGAGCTCATTGGGTCGCTGGGATTGCGAGGCTACGCAGTGTCGCTCCGTGGTTATCGTTTCCCGTCAGTGTGATGACATAAAGGCGAAAGAACGCGCGATACGGATACCAAAATATCTAATGTAAACAAACGGTCACAAAGGCGATTGGGCTAGCTGCCTTGCGTTTTTCTTTTGAGTTTTGGTTTCAATTGTAAGTGCATCTAATTTTAGGCACCCATTTTGGCAAAAAAAATGTGAGCGTTATAATCGTGCAAACAAGTATGTAGGCCAGAAAAAACGCAAAATATGTATACAACACAGCGACAAACAATGCAAGTAGCTCATTACATGAGTTAATCTTGTCCTAATTGTCTTTTTATCAGTTCAATTTGCAGCTGTGCTCGGGTGGTTTCAAGTCTAATGACTTCTCTTTGCTCCCTGAGCACTTCCTCCTCTATAGCATAGAAACTCCGTGCAGCATCTGCTGCAGCGAGGGTTGCGTTTGCAGCCTGTACGGCCCCATTTGTGTACTTTCTCTCAAGGAGTATATTCTCATGCTCCAGATCCTGCTGTCGCTCGGCCCTTCTCTGGTACTGCTGTGCAGCCTCACGGGTCCAGCGCTGGTTGTGCTGCACAACAGGAGAGGCCAGTGTTCTCTGTGCTGCGTCGTCTTCAACTGTACTGCTGCCAGATGACGAGGGTGGCGGCGTCGTCACCCTTCCCGTGCAGCTGCTGTAGTGACACGCATGACCAGGAAATTGTTTGAGGTTAAAGGGATACTACAACAAAATTTCGGGTTTCATTTTTTGGTCTATATGTGTTCGAAGGAGCAGTATCACATCGAACACAACAATATCTTGTTAAAAAAGTCACGAAAAGGAATTTTAAAACGAATTAAGCGATTGGCAAAGAGCACCAGGTGGATGTCGCTAACGCCTCGTTTGTAATGCCAGTCTAAGAACCTTGACAGCTAGTGACGGTAACTGTCTCGCCTCCGGCTACCACAATAGAAGAGGGGAAGGAGGAACTCTCCTCTTCCAAAGAATCCTTTTTGTATGTCCCAGAAGTTGCTATTGTCCCCCTACAAGATTATAAAAGATTAACCCTTCACTCAAAATTCGTACAAAAGCAGCCGCTTTGGTGGCTGGAACGACTAGGCCATCCTCTCGACGTTAGCCTCGTCGCAGCTTTGCTCGTCCCGAGACGAACTACGTCACGATTGAGTTGGGTGTCACATGCTCTCCGCTGGCTGTTCTCCGAGCGCTTGTCAGGGTGGGCCGTTTGTAACGAAAACTATAGCCACCAGGTTCAAAATACAAACGTGCGATTGTCATTTAGGGATACAGTGGATCATATTCAACCTATTTTTGAACACGACGGGTATATTTTTAATTTCGTTGAGGTATCCCTTTAACGCATAACCCTTTACAACGATTATCAGCAAACTTAAAAACCGAAGTCACTGACTGGCTGTGGATGGCAGCCCGAGGTACAATATTGTCCTGCATAAAGTTAATGCTCGGGACGTGTTCCGAGCATGCGCAGTGAGAAAAATGGCAGCTCACAGAGGGCTATTGTTGGGCAGGAGTGAACTTGTAAATTTCAACATAACTTAGCAAACTGCAAGGGCTACAGCTCCAGAGAGCTGCTCAGAGCATTGAAGCAAAGGATTGTGACTAGACACCATACTCGTGCACGTACGTCCTCCGTGACATGATTCTCTTTGTCCTCTATCTCTCCAAGTGATGCATGAGGGCTGCAGTGCATGACATTTTTGACGTCACCCTGGATCAGGGTACATATATGTATGGGAGAACTGAGTGCAACGTGCGGCAACCTTAATCCAGATGTGACAGTAACACTTGTCATAATTTTACCACATATGTTGGTGGTACAACAGACTGGAGTGCCTAACCCCACAACTTCGTTTCATTGGCGGTTGGTAGAGTCGCCATATAGACATTTGTACAAGATTTAAAACAAGTAGATGTGGCACACTCACACCAGCCGTCATATGTGATTATTGTGTACCCAAGCACTGTCCGGCTAACTGGGACATTGATACTTTTTCAGATTTTGTTGGCACAGATCAGCATCGAATAAGTCATTGGTGCATTCTCAACTTAATCTCATAAGCGTTACCAAAAAAGAATGGATTTTTGCTACGTTAGCAGGCATGTACGAAGATCATGCAAAAACATTTCCACTGACAGTGGAAAAATTTGGGTATTGAGTGACCTGACTTTGAAGAAAATAGGTGATCTCAACTTGAGAGAAAGACTACCATAGCTTTGTTGATTATGATGTAAATATTTCTTTGTAATTTTGTGGTACAAATAGTTTCAAACTGTGAGTTTTACTGCATTTACCCTAATAAATGGTTTCATTGGCACTTTTTCAGCAGTGCAGAAATGGCTAAATATGTGAAGGTGGTGTCCTTGTGCTGTGTTCTGTTCTCTACTGGACAGGTTTTGACTCGTGCTCCTAATATTGTCGTTTTGCTTCATGAAGTTGGTCTCTATGTAAGGGCACGCAGCAGTAGTGTTATGCAACTGACATGTCCACTTTGAGATGGAAAACCAATATATTCTTTTATGACAATCCAAACTGTTCCCTATGCTCATCAATGTTTCTTAGGAGCATGCCAACAATTGGTGACTTTTGATATGCCTTGTGTCTGTGCTCAGTTTCATACCTATCATCAGTGACAGCAGAACATCCCTATCATCAGTTTCATAACTATCATCTTGTGGAAGTACTCATAATGTGACGAGCAGAACAGAAAAAGAATGCACCTTCAGCGCGTGCTCATTCTCTTCTGCTGCTTGTGCATCATTGTGCTGTCAGGGCTAGTAAGCTGTAACTGGGTGCAGAGCTTCCACTGTACTATCGCCTCCATTGTCACAGTCTACATACAGTGTGCAACGATATCAAACTTGTAGGCGTAAGGGTGGGCCATTCAATTAGCACAAGTAAGGTGATTGACGAAGCCACGTGCTCATACCTACAACTTTAGTATTGTAATGTATAAAGTATCAACAGGAGCATAGCATACACAGCATGACCTATAAAGTGTTACCTACTTTTCGGTGTCACCGATGATGACGTCAATCCCACAGATCGTCGGGGAATCGTCCCCGATCACATTTAAAACAGTCTCGACAAGTGGTGTCAGCTGATGGGGGTTGGGACCAGCACCTATGAATTGAAGTACACTTATTTTGTTTACTAGGATGTAAGCACGATTAAAGGTGGGGGAGGGGAGACAGGGTGTTCATTATTCAACATAGTATCAATGTGCGAATGAACAGAAAACGCGTAAACATGTAATTGCCAATAATGATAAGCTTGTTTTCTTACCTTCGTTTTTTTTTTCACCCTCAGGTTCCTATTATCCGGTCTCGGGTAATATGTGATGTTGGGCAATTTATTTCTTTTTTTTTTTTTGTTTGACAGCAAACTCACTGTTGCCAGCTACCGGCTAGCCTGGCCCACTCTGTGCCTGAATCGGTTGCGTCGGAAGTGTTTGAAACGTGGAGGGGCGACGGGGCCTCTGAGCTTAACCCCGCCCCCCTTTGCAGCGTTGTTTACCGCAGCTGTCTGAAATTTCAAGGGGGGGGGGGGGGGGGGGGGAAGGGGAAGGGGGTCTGAAGCCCCCCTGCCCTTGTTCCCACGCTACTTGCCTACATACATTTGTCTTCTGTGTTTAGTTGAACAATAGTGTCTACATTGTTTACAGTGCTAAAGACAATGTTTTTGGCGAGCAAAATTTGGACATTAATTTTGAGAAATTACGCAGGCCCACTGCATGGAACAGGATCCAAGGTGCTTTGGGGCTATTTCTGTGTTAGTGCCACTGTGTTGAAACTTGTGCGAGTAAGAACTAATTAATCTTTGGGCTTGCCCTCTCATGATATTGAGCGAGATGTTAGTTGTCGCGCATTGAATGGGGTCTTCGGTTGAGATATTTGCCCCAAAAATTTGAGGGGCTAATATATCACTCTCTAATAAATTTGTACAGTGCACCCAAAGTTTCCAATAAAGATTTGACAAATATCGCCCTTTTTTCTGTTTTTGTAGCGCAAATATTGGAACTTACCTGTCCGTTGGACATGTTCTTTGTACAATCTGTACAAAGTTCGGCACTTTTTAAGTAATTTTCTCCATGCTTCTTGAAGTTGTTTCACTGAACGCGGAACTTGGTGGCGGCGGGTCATGGAATTGGCGACTTGGTCCCAGGCGCGTCTTTTGGTTTTAGTAGTCACGGTAGGGCCGAATTTTCCCAGGATTTGGTATCTTCGAGCCTCAACTTCCCGGACTAATTCCAATTTTTCATCTAGGGTCCAATTCTTTTGACGCAGCGGCGCGGTCCCCTTTGAGGTAGTCGCTCGGTTCATTTTCGTTTGCAGAAGGAGCATGATCGTCTGCTACCTTGGTTTGTTTATCTACACAATTGCAACATTATTCCTGCTAACCGTAAAATATTTTTTCAGAAGCAACGCGAAATAACAAACAAGTGCATTTCCAACAACTTCAGTATTGTTTATTTCTCGGTTCTACAACTTTCGCAGACGGCACAACGAAGTTGATTCGGAAAAACTGCATGTACCGGCTTTCTTGGAGGGCGAGTGAATTGAACGATCGGCAGGTCACTGGTCTTTTATGGACAACGTAGCATTTCACTAAACCCAGAGAAAGTTCTGCTACTCATCACTGCTAAAATCCATTGGACCGTTGAGCCTCTGTCCGCCGTTTATCTGCAGAACGGTTGATGCTGCAGCTGCAGTCGCACTGTAAGCAGAATACGAGGATTTTGTACAAAATGGACACCCTGAACAGAAATTTTCCCGGCGTGACTACTTTCAATAAACCGCAATCGCTACTCAAAAGGCAACTCTCCGTAATGCTTCCTTTCAATAAACGTATTCTGATCCTGCTCTTGCTTGAAGTTAGTTTCACAGCGCTCAACATAACGTGAGTATGAGGCTGGCCTCATCACAACCCTATCGCAAAATGTTTTGGTGCTCACCGTAAAACGCTTGTCGTACTCGGCTATCGTGTTCCTTGGAACGCATCCCACATTTCGGCGCTGCGATGCATGATTCTTGCCGTGCTTCAATGAAGCCGATGCGAAGCTTCGACAGTCGGCGACTCCGGGCCACTGTACTTCTACAAATCGGTGACTCTGAGCCACTGTTTGTCGACGGGCTGCTGCCGTCGACTTCAGTCGCAGTCCCCTCGAAATGTCAGTTTCTTTAAGGCGCACGTAGGATACTTGTACACTTTTAACTTAGAACACGGAACCTAAATCATCGCTCTGAAGACAAACACCAATGCGATCGCGACCGCGGAAACTGCGTACGCCGCAGCCATTTTGTCGAACGACGCGACGGGGCAATGCGTAGCTCCCCGTATCCCTACCGAGCCAGTCACGTGACTAAAAAATCCCTCTCCTAGGTACTGCGGCTAACTTTAGCCGCGGTTAGCTGTTCGAGCAAACGGGCCCAGATCAGTCTTTACACAATCAAGTAACTCGAAATAGGGACTGATAATCATGGGCAATCACTAGAAGTCATTTGGACCCTAAATCTGCCATATAATTATTGATATGAATGTATAGCCAATAGTAGCCATTGGAAGCCAACTCAGTCTGCACAAAACAAATAAGTTGAAATAGTGACTGATAGTAATTGATAGTCACGGAAGTCATACGGACCCCAAATGTGCCATATAATTTATAAACATGATCACATAGCCAATAATAGCCATATGAAGCCAACTCAATCTGCACACAATCAATTAACTCAAAATAGTGGCCAAAAGTCATTAAAAGTAGCT